ATTGTTGGTGCCTGACAGGGTGGTTTGAGTATGACAGTCATTTACAGAGAATGGTATGAAAACACAAAAAACAGCAGTGGGTGTGGGTGAAAATGCCTTAATACTGACAGGAAGGTGATAGTAACTGAAATATGTGTTTTTGTTTGTCATTTAAGAACCAAATTTTATCCACATGGCCCACATACGGGAGGGAGAATCGAACCCAGAGGGGGACGATGACAAGCTCTATCTGTTTTTCAGTGAGACAGCAGTGGAATATGACTCCTACACCAAGATGGACGTCTCTCGAGTAGCTCGCGTGTGCAAGGTAAACTCCCATCGTGTCTTATGTCATATGAGCTGTATTGAGAAACATTACAGCATTTTCTGTCTATACCACATATTACACCAATGCAAAATGTCATTTCTCTTAGGGAGACTTGGGTGGGCAGAGGACGCTGCAGAGGAAGTGGACTTCTTTTCTAAAAGCAAGGCTTGACTGTCCCGTTCCAAACAACAACCTGCCTCTTCTGGTCCAGGATGTTTTCCACTTGTGCCCCAGTGACTGGACCACCTGCGTGTTTTATGCTGTCTTTACCCCACAATTGTAAGTTTGAGATCTTTTTGTTTCTTCTAAGATAGTATTTCTTCTCAGTTCAATAATAGTGTGGATGTTGTGCAGTTCATTAATTATGAAACATTGATTCTGATCAACAGAGACTCCTCTCAGTACTCCGCGGTATGTGCATACAAAATTGAAGACATCAAGACCGTGTTCTCAAAGGGCAAGTTTAAGGTTCCTGTTCCCGTTGAGACGTCGTTCGTGAAGTGGGTGATGTACTCAGCTGATGTCCCCGATCCCCGACCGGGAGCAGTGAGTCTTCTGTTCAGTAACTCGGTTCAGCACTCGTTCAATAACACTGATTCCCAGAGTTCACTAACCTTCACTTTGTTTTCAATTACAGTGCGTTGATAATCATGCCAGAGAAATGGGTTTCACCAAATCTCTGGATCTCCCAGACAAAACCTTACAGTTTATTAAAGACAAGCCTCTGATGGACCAGGCCATCAAGGCCAGTGGAGAGAAACCCCTGCTGGTGAAGAGAGGCGTTGCTTTCACTAGAATTGTGGTGGCCACAGCAACGGCCTTGGACAGGACCAGCCATCAAGTCATGTTCATTGGCACAAGTAAAGATGCCTTTATGCAAATCTGTAGTGTTTATAATCAGTAAACCCTCCAAAAGTATCCAACTTTTTTCTCCCGTAAAAAAGGGCGTGGCCATTTGTAAATTCTATGGGTCTAGCTTCCGATCTAATCCGTGTCCAGCTACTTTTAGCTGTACAAAACAGTTCATTTTGCTGCGTGATATTGCAAATTGGTGTGTCTTACCATGTTATTTTAATGTATTATTTTCATTTTGAACACACTGGTGTGTAGTGCAAACAGTTTTACCGTTTACTGCACGTTGTTGTTCTTCTCGTTAGCGGTTCAGTACTGAAAGCTGTGAATTATAACAGAGAGATGGCCATTATGGAAGAGATTCAGCTATTTGGGCCCTCAGAGCCAGTGAAGATACTGCGACTTTCCAACACCAAAGTAATAAGCAGATGCATTTATTGATGTTTATTGCTCACTTAGCAACATCATGAGCTGTGTGTCTGTTTCTTTTCAGCAAAGCTAATTTTATTCCTGTAGCTTAACTGGTTCACCAAAGTTAGGGTGAATGGCTTTCTAAGTCAAAGCTTAAATAGCTGCTAACAAATTTTATAGGAATATTTTATGTTCAACTGAAGCAAGAGTCAAAATGTTTGTAATTTCTATTATTGTCTATAGAGATGTTATGTTAAGTTATGTGTGATGTCATCCCAACAACAGCTGTACGTGGGTTCGGATGTGGGCGTGGTTCAGCTGTCCATCAATGAATGTGGGCGGTACCACACGTGTCTGGACTGTGTTCTGGCCAGGGATCCATACTGTGGCTGGGACCTCAATGCTGACCAATGCTCTACCATAAACAGCACACACAGAACCAGGTCAAAAGTCAAATAAATCTATTTACAAATCTATTTTAATGACAGCTAAACACATTTCTCATGCAAAAAATAGCATTGTTTACTGTAATACAATAAAATTATATTATTGCTTAAGAAATAAAGTATGAATACATAATGGTAGTATTTGTTTTAATGTCTTTATTGCTTTATCGTCTGTATTGTATTAAGCTTTACGGCATAAATTAGTGAGAATTACCGGTCACACTTTAGTTTGGGGACCACTTCTCAGTTCTCACTATTAACTAACCATAAACTACAACTTTTGCCTCGGTAAACTCTTTAATTTGCTGCTCATTAATAATTAGTAAGGTAGTTGATAAGTTTAGGTATGGGGTAGGATTAAGGATCTAAAATATGGTCATGCTAAATAAGGCATTAATATGTGCTTTATGAGTACTAATAAACAGCCAATATGCTAGTAATATGCATGCTAATAATGAGGTTTTTGTAATTCATCTTATTGTCAAAAGTAAAATGACTGTACACATGAATGGAAATTTTACAGGAAATTATGCAGAAAATGCAAAAATGTGTTCTTAATTCAAACTTTTGTGATTATTGTTTGTGCACACCATTATGAATATTGATATTGGCATATTGCTGATTGCTGTAATATTATTTCTTCCACAGCACTGTGATTCAGAATTTGAGTTATGGTGATGCCAGCCGATGTCCACAAATAGGTACTTGTATTATATCCCAGAGTCTTCAAACTGTATGTTCTGGTAGAAACACTAAAAATAACATCTGGAACTTGTGTTACAGAGGACAGTAAGTCAGTCAGCGTCTCGTTTTTCCACGGCAATACCGTGAAGCTGTGGTGCCAGCCATATTCCAACCTGGCACAGGTTCAATGGCAGCTGAACGGACGACCCATCAAAGCGTCAAACACCTTCCAGATCCTGTCCGACAGCCTGATGATCTTCAATGCCTCCGCAGACGCCAGCGGCTGCTACACCTGTAGTTCTGTAGAGCGGAATTACCAAACCCAGCACGTAGCATATGATCTAAAAATGTGGTCGGCATCCGGGACTACAGCATTACTACACAACGTTAAGGAAAAAGAAAACACACTTGTGGCCATGGTGGTGTTATTGTCACTAATTCTAGCTATGCTAGTAATTTGGAACCTGTACAAAGGGCATTTTCCTTTGCCGTTTTGCCACAGGAGGGTAAAGGACACGGAGAACAGGTGCGAACAAAGTCTGTATGAGAACCAGCTTCCAGAACATAAAATAGCATCATCAACGGTGAACTTGAACAGCAACAACAACCATGTGAACGACCAGAGGTACTCCAGCTCTAGAGAAACGGACAGACTCTCAACCACTGTTGGTTCCTCAGGTCAGATCACAATGAAATATATAGATGAATCTGAGATTTGAGATTTTTATGCACAGACTTGCTAATGTGGCTAATCGTCATTTATATACAGACCAAGCCCACTGAGGCTGGCTCCTCTTTTGCAGCTAACTCTTGACTAAACTGCTGTTTTGACCCACTTTTTGTCCTTGATGAATCTATACCTTCTAAATGCCATCGCTCATGTCCAATGGACAAAAACAAAGACACTGAATCAGACTTTTTTTGCATAAGGTCTGTCTCCATTGCAGCTTACTGTGTCCAAGAATCACCAAAGTACTTTTCAAGGACAGTCAAATCACTTGGTGGTCATATTTGCAACGCCACCGGGCAGCTATTTCAGTCATGCAAAACCAACTCCCATCTACTTGAATGGGGAAATGGTCAATTTTAAAAACTGCTTGGCAATATTTCAACATTCTAACATGAACTGCTTCATAAATGCTGTTTCATACGTTAAAATAGCGTTACATTAAAACATGTGCTAAGTGCGAGTTTTAGGACCCTGAGTGTTTCTGTGTGAACTGGAGCATCTTCATTCTAATGTCACAATTGGCTGTTTTATTTATAAGCCTTTGCAGTCTTCACACCGACTTGAACACTTGGGCCAAATCCAGGAAATAAGAACGTAGTCATCATCAAAGTATGCAACTGGTTCAATGCAAAGAACGCAAGTGTGGGTATTAGGAAAGGCCCAGTATAGTCTTATAGAACTGCCCACTTACACAGGAAATGACTGATGTCTGATCATGTACCAATATAAGTTACCTACCACATTTAATTTTGTTTTTATGTGGTTCATGTGAAATACATTACACCACATTAATAGGCCTAAAGTCACATTCACACCAAGAACGATAACTATAAAGATAACTATAACAATAACCATAATAGTATCCACAGCAATAGGCGATTATATTCTGGTGTTATCCTTATAGCTGTGGTGTGACTTCCTTTTCTCTTAGAATTAGAATGATTATTACAACTTTATAGTTATCGTACTTGGGGTGAATGGCCTGAAAATACAGTTTTGCTTGTTGTTTACTTGCTACAAAACAAACTTTTGCCACAAACAAACTCTTGACTCAAAACCAGTGATTAGTTCATGCTCAAAAGTTATCATTTTATGAACCTGGCATCCTGTAAACATGATTTTGTTTCCAGGTGGACTGACTGCGAGCCCTGAAGTTTGAGGCAGAGACTATTTAGAGTCTTTCTTTGGACATTTTCAGTGGTTGTGTTCCTGTTTTAGGGGCAAAAACGAGACATGCCATCTTGTTAAAACCTGCCGTGGTTGTTGATTCAATCCAAGTATGTTGCCTTTAAAGGCAATTCCACATGGACAAGAATGAACTTCCTGTATCTTCAGGATACCAAGACAAGTGTCAAATGACTGCATCTTAGACTCAAAGTTGAATGCAGCTTATGTTGCGTGTTTTTTATATGAATGTACTGCAGAAATTTCATTTTAACTTTAATACCATCTATGTACCTAAAATGCTGTAAATTCTCTTTGTAAATGGCTTTTTCCAATGAACAACAAATTAAATGTCAAGGTGTAAAATTTATTTTAAAAATTGAGCACAAATGACGACGTTAAGCAATTAAAAATTAGTAAATCTTTACTGTATCATCTCAAAAGCAAATAGTACAAAAATAGCATTTTCAAGCTCAACCAACGAACACGTTTATAAAAAAAAAAAAAAAAGTAATCGAATGCCAGATAAGAGCCTGAAATGTACAAAACAGGATTTTCAACAAGGACAAGATCACATATTAAGGTCTATTCTGTTGAAAACCTGTTCTTCCACTAACGGAAGATGCTAATGAAATCAATAAACAGAGATTGTACTACTTTTTCTAGATTTACACCAATTTTACAGCATTTGAAGATTAACGTTCAGTGTTCCCGATATTCAACACTTTGCTAATACAACTCAACCTCGTCCTCTTCATCGCCTGTATCGGTATCGCTTAAAGTGGAACCACAGCTGAAAGATTCCATTGGCGAACTGGCAGCGGAAACCATGGCGATGGGAATACTCCCATTCACGGTTCACGATCTTAAATGCGAGGTCTTCGTATGGTGGGCCGGCGTGGAAGCGCAGTATTCCAAAGTCTTTGTTGTCGGGACAGGGCTCGAGGAAGTACTGCGGAGTCGAGCGCTTGTCGATGAGATCAGGGTAGAAGATGTTGAACTTGTAGCCCTGGACGATCTTGGGCGGCGGGTTGTCGAAGTCGTAATGCGTCTGGTTGTATTTGTTCCACTCGAAGCCGGTGTGGACGCGGTTGAAGAAGCGGGGCTTACGTGGACGGTATTTGTTGGCCCACAGGTACATTTTTCCAGTCAAAGGCATTTCAACGCTGAACTGGGCCTCGTCGCCGCCCATGCCCTCTTTAGCGCGACGCACGAATGCATCTTCGGCGCTTTCATTTGCATCGCCTGTTCAAAAAGACAATACAAGTTAGCATTAGCACGAGTGAATCTTTACAGATGTGTTTACAAATGTGAACGATAAAATAGTTTTATGTTCCTAACAGTAAAGTATCTTTACAGTGACATACAGATTACTGAATTCTTAATTTCCAATTGGCTGACATGATGTTGATTAATTTTCTGTAATTACAGGTCTACGAAACAACTCTAGAGGTGTTGACCACATTATTCACTTTGCCGCATTTTTTAGAACTTGGTTTCCATCCATGTATGGATGGATTGAATTTAAATTGTAGTGCATAAACTACAATGGAAACGTCCTTGATACACAACAAAAGACGTGATTTTGCCTCAACAGATTATGTGATTGGATAACTGGACTAACCAGTGAACCAATCACATTGCATGGAATGGAAACAGTGCTTAATTCGCAAATATTTTATGCGATATTCCAAGTTAAATTCACAACTTTAAACCTGAAAATATCTCAAGTTAAACATGTTCTTTTGTAACCATCAGTCCATTAGAATGGAAGCATTAAAGGCTGTTTTTAAGGTGAATTTCAGTGCCTCCTTGAATCAATTTCCTGTATTTCTGCTGTTTGTAACCCCCAATTTTTTTTAATTTTCTACATATTTTTCTATCCACAAACTCTTTACCCTTTAGGTGAGTTTAAGTGTGTGCCTGAGTCTATTTCCTGCACTTTCATCCCCTTGATACAGCATGGTGAGTTACAAAAGGGAGGGAAAAGATGATTGTGCCTCCCTATGGCCAATGTTGAAATTACATTCTATAACCTTTCCAAGGTTATATTTTACCTTTCTTCCTGCTGCACGTCTATAACTGAAATCTTGAAGCATGTGATGTGTGTAATTTGACTATGGTATATGAAGCAACAGAGCGATACGCACCGGTCACCTGCTGCTGTGTCCGGGCCAGCTGGAGTCTCTGCAGGTCCTCCTCCACGTTGATGATGTGTGTGTCCAGCGGTAGCTCTGAGGGCTGCAGGAGGGTGGGACTGTAGCGGCCGGAGTCGTACTCCGCCTGACTCTGCTGGATCAAATCCTCCTCTGTTAACACGGCCTCCGGGGCTTCATCTTTCTCTCCCTCCTCCCCCTCTCCTCCCTTTCTCTCCTCAGGACTGCTCCTTCCAGACCGCTCACCCTCTTCTTCATCCAGCCTCTTGGTCCGTCTGTCTCCATCGTCACCTTGCTGAGAGCTGCCCGGCTCCTCATCTGCAAATTCCTCCGCTGTAGGGCTACTGGGAAACAAAATGGACAAATCACAAATTGGGTATGTTTCAAGTGTAATTCATTTAATTGAATCAAGGAATTTGTGATAAGGTCATTTTGAAATATTATATATTTTATAGTGCAGTTTCAGGTGATGACCCATTTTATAATTAGTTTAGAAGTCAAATTCAGAGTTATTTGAGCTGAGTATCTAGATACAATTTCCATTATGTTTCCAGGCCTAAATACATATAAAAAATATTTTAAGAATTCTAATAAAATATTCTCACTGATATTTGCAGATTTCCTATTACCATTGAATCACTGACATATTAGCATTACTGATTAGTAGGAAGTACGGTATTGTATATGCATGCTTTAAAAAATATATAAAACTGTACACAGAATACAACAATTATCATTTCAAATGGTAGTATACTACTTTGTTGCAAAACCACACTAAGTTGCATGTTTAAGGTTGTGTTCAGTTCAATTTCTATCTCAGAAATATAGTAATTTAGCATTTATCAGCCATATAATCAACATTTAGATTCAGAAGTGATAAAGTTATCAGAATTCAGATTCGGAATGGATAAAGTTATTATTATTATTATTTATTTACATTTTTTAAAAATATTTTAGGTACATTTCAAGAATAACTTTAGTAATTTGAGACTACAGTTAAATTTAAATGTTATTTAGATTGTGTGCAGTTAATTGTTCTTCCATCTTGGAAATACAGTTATTTATAGTTAAATGTAAAAAACAAAAAAATTCATCAGTCTGAATGGTCAGGTGGAAGTGAAATCACTCACATGGACCGCTCATTCTCTTCTTTGATGACGGGGAAAAGCGGTTCGCTCGCCACACCCTGTTCTTGTTTGAGTTTATACAGCTTCTGCCGCAGGACGTCCTGATGCCGTTCTCTCAGCCTTCACAAACACACACAGACCCATAAGGTAAGACATCACTGAACTCTAAAAATCCCCAGAGGCCCGTGACAGTTACTAGTCACTAGTACTAGACAGTTACTAGTGACTAGTCTGATACGCACCTGGCTCGTGCCATGTAGACCCGCACCTGCTGCAGGAGACTCTCCCAGTAGCCGATGTCCAGGTTGAAGCCTCCTGCCTTGATCTTATTCTCGATGTTCATATAGAGAGCCTGAAGCTGACTGTACGTCTTCCCTTTAAACACGCTCTGCACGTCTGTGCTGACAGATGTGTTTATGCCCTCACGACGGTCACCTGACATGACACCAAAAACAGAGATGGATGAGGGGTTGTGCACTGGACTTTCTTTAAATATACTAAATAGCATAATGCATTAGGGTTGCATAATATTCATATATCCCCTATGTAACATTTTCAGCGATTACATTTACATTTAATTTGCATTGTTTCATGAATCTAACAATAATACTAAATAAACTACTGTATAATAATAAAAAAAATAATAAAGTCTAATGCTCACCAAGGCTGCATTTATTTGATCAAAAATAAAGTAAAAAGTAATACTGTGAAATATTATTACAATTTAAAATAAATGTTTCTATGTGAATATATTGTAAAATATCATTTATTCCTGTAATGCAAAGCTGAATTTTCAGCATCGTTACTCCAGTCTTCAGTGTCACATGATCCTTCAGAAATCATTTTAATATACCAATTTGCAGCTCAAAAAATAATTCTTAATATCAATGTTGAAAACAGTTGTCCTGCTTAATATTTTTGGGTGAAACTGGATTCTTTGATCAGTAGAAAGTTTGAAAGAACAGCATTTATTTGAAAAATAAATCTTATGTGAGATTATAAATGTATTTATTTATTTATTTTGTCAATTTAATACATCTATTCTGAAAATAGGTATTGATTTCTTTAACCAAATTATCTAAAACATTTGTATAACACTGTATATATAATCTTAAAACACTTTATTTAATAATAGCATAACTTAAAATAACTAAAATTAATTAAACATTTAATATTTACTCTAAAATGAATCAACTGTAAACTATACAGGTTGTAAATGTAATAGTGCGGGTCATCACATCACCTGGTCCTTTGCCTGATGCCTCCAGTTTGCGCAATTTGCTGATTTCGTCTTCAGTAATGGTGGTCATATCCCTCCAGAAATCCACGTTCTTGCCCTGTTCCAGCTCCATGTACACCTGCAGCCAGAAACACACAACCAGATCAAAATCATCATTGAACTTGGGTAAAAATTAATGTTACTTCACATTTGAATCCTATTTTGTGTAAAAATGTCTGAACTGGCAGCCCAATCACGTGTTAAAATGATCTTTCATCTCTCTTGTCATCACACACCTTGATGTCCTCCAGCAGGTCGTCCATGTCTGTGGCGGTGAGTCCGTTGAGGAAGGTGTACGGTTCATGCATCTCCACCGACAGATCATCGTCTTCAGCGCTGATGTATTTAGCCAGCAGGTCGATGGGCTTCGCTCGGCTGTCACGGATCCGGATCTTAGACCTGCATCACATCACAGAAACGCGTTACAAATGGTCCAATCACATGTATGTATGAAAACACTACACGTCTGAAGAGCGCGACCTCAGTTTGGCCTGCTGCAGGTGAAAATTGTCCTCCTGTTCCGCCCACGTTTTGAAATGTTCGGCCTCTTTCTCTCTCTGCAGCATCTCCAGCTCCTGCTCGCGCATGGACTTCTCCCGCTCTCGCTCCAGACGCAGCTGCTTCACCTGAACACACAGATCTCACACCTTTACTTCACTTCAGTTTGTCTTTAGTTCATTTCCCAAATGCAATTTGGTTGCAGCATTTAAGACTTTAAATAATACAAAAACACAATACTTTTTTGTGAGAGAACATTTAATTAGAGCAACTAATCAACAGTATATATTACTATATGTTTTTATATATAATATACAGTGGAGATCAAAACTAGAGAACAACCAACAATTTCCTAAATTTCAAGGTCACTACTTAGTCCAATTTGACGTTATCCTAACAGGAGTAGAAGGGCACTTTAAGCATATTTCATAAATTAATTGTATTCTGAAGCACAGAATAAAAAACTTAAATGAGATATAACACTTACAGATACCGATAAGATACAGATACAGATAAGTTATTGGTGTTAATCTGGCACCTGGTGCTAATTTCTTTAATTATATGACAAACAAGTCAAGTCACCTTTATTTATTTAGCGCTTTATACAATACAGATTGTGTCAAAGCAGCTTTACAGTATTAAACAGGACGATAGTGTGTCGATAATTAGGGTTGGGTATCGTTTGTGTTTTTTCCGATACCGGTGCCAAATAGATACTTTTAAAACGGTTCCGGTGCCTAAACGGTGTCTGAACCGATACTTATTAAAATATAAATAAATAAATAAAAATTCCCCAAAAAATGATGGATTGGCCATTAGCACTATAAACACATGATGTCTGTTTCATTCATACTGGACACCAGAGGGCGCCCTCGCACAGAAAATCCACATATTTAGTCACAGAAGTAGCAGAAAGTGACCCTCCAGGAAATCCCTTATATGGACAAAGGCATTGCTATTATAGCTGTAACTGAGTAAACAGAACATATAAACGTTTTGAATGATAAAACAAAGACAATAAACCCTCGACTGCGACAATATAGTTTATCTGTTATTCAAGCCAT